TTAGAAACATGCATGCTTCAAATGTCAATCCCAGCTCCCCACTTCTCCCTCTACCACCCCCACCCCACTACCCCTAGCCCAATCCCCACATCATTCCCCAGGAGGGGTAGGACCCTCCTTGGGGGGATGTCCAGAGTCTGTCATTTCATCCAGGACAGGACCTACGCCGTTCCCCATGTGTCCAGGCTGAGAGAGCATCCCTCCATGTGGAATGGGCTCCCATAGTTCATTTGTATGCCATGGTCAACACTAATCTACTACCCAAGGCCCCAGAGATTGCTGAGGCCTCCTCACTGACACTACATTCATGGAGTCTGGATCAGTCCCCTGTTGGAATCTTAGTCATCAGTCTGGGGTTCAAGAGCTCCTCCTTGTCCAGTCAGCTGTCTTTGTGGGTTTCACCAGCACAGTCTTGACCGCCTTGCTCATCATTCCTCCATCTCTGTCACTGGATTCCAGGGGGTCAGTTCAGTGTTTAGCTGTGAGTATCTGCCTCTGCTTCCATCAATCACAGGATGAAGGCTCTAGGATGGCATATAAGGTAGTCATCAACCTTATCATCAGGGAGGGGCTATTAATATAGTTTCTCCACTATTACTTAGTTTTCCAGTTGGTGTTATCCTTGTACATCTCTGGAAGTCTCACTAATGTCAGCTCTCTCCTCAAAGTTATAATGACTCCAACTGTTACGGTATCTCTCATCCTGATCTCCTCTATTCTTACCCCGACTCAGCCTTCCTGATCCCCCATGTATTCTTCTACCCTCCTCTTATCCCCCTCTGTTTTTCCTGGTTCGCTCTCTTCTCAACCCTTGTTCCCTGTCTGCTCAGGGGATCTTGTCTCTTTCACTTCTCTGGTGTATAATGCATGTCTCTTGGGAACCTCCCTGTTTTCCAGACTCACTGGCCCTGGGATTGTAGGCTGACACTCCCCTGATCCATGTCTAAAATTCAAATATGAGTGAGTGCATACCATGTTTGTCTTTTTGTGACTGGGTTACCTCACTAAGGATGTTTTCTTCTAGTGCCATCTATTTGCCTGCAAATTTCAAGATTCCATTGTATTTATCCACTGAGTAGTACTCCATTGTGTAAATGTACCACATTTTCTCTATCCACTCTTCAGTTGTGGGGCATCTAGGTTGCTTCCAGGATTTAGCTATTACAAATAATGCTGCTATGAACATAGTTGAACAGACATTCTTGTAGTATGAATGAGCACCTTTTGGATATATGCCTAAGAGTGGAATTGCTTGGTCATGTGGTAGACTGATTCCCATTTTCCTGAGGAATCTCCATACTGATTTCCAAAGTGGCTGTATAAGTTTGCACTCCCACCAGCAATGGACGAGTGTTCCCCCTTTCTCCACATCCTCTCCAGCATAAGCTGTCATTGGTATTCTTGATTTTAGGCATTCTGACAGGAGTAAGATGATATCTCGGGGTTGTTTTGATTTGCATTTCCCTAATGACTAAGGATGTAGAGCACTTTCTCAAGTGTCTCTCAGCCATTTTAGTCTCCTCTATTGAGAAATCTCTATTTAGCTCAGTCTCCCAGTTTTTAATTGAGTCCTTTGGTGTTTTGGAGAATAGCTTCTTGAGTTCTTTGTAAATTTTGGAGATCAGCCCTCTGTCATAAGTGGGGTTAGCGAATATCTTTTCCCAATCTGTGGGTTGCCTTTTTGTCTTGCTGACTGTGTCCTTTGGCTTACATAAGCTACTCAGTTTCAGGAGGTCCCATTTATTAATTGTCGATCTCAGTGTTTGTGCTACTGGTATTCTGTTCAGGAAGCTGTCTCCTGTATCAATTCATTCAAGGGTACCACCCACTTTCTCTTCTAAGAGGTTCAGTGTGGCTGGATTTATGTTGAGGTCTCTGATCCATTTGGACTTAAGTTTTGTGCATGGCGATAGACATGGATCTATCTGCTGGGATTTTGATAGGGATTGCATTGAGTCTGTAGACTGCTTTTGGTAGGATTGCCATTTTCACTACATTGATCCTACCTATCCAAGAGCATGGGAGATCTTTCCATTTTCTGGTGTCTTCTTTAATTTCTTTCTTTAAAGTTCTTGGGATATAGGTCTTTCACTTGCCACACACAAGATAAAATACCTTGGGGCAACGCTAACCAAACAAGTGAAAGACCACCAGTCTTATGCTCCTGCCATCGTGACCTCACCGTGATGGACTGTTGTCCTTCCAACTGTGACAAAAAAACCACTCTCTCTTCAGTTTAAGTTGCTCCCTGTAAGGGACATTGTCAGAGCAACACTAACATTCAAACTGAGGAGTGGGAACCAGTCTACAGCACAGACCTATTCGCCTGTAGACTTTAGCACAGGCTCTCAAACTACAGCCCTCACGCTGAGTCTTCCAACTGATGTATGTTTTTAATACAAAGTTTTGTTTCAACAGAGCCACATTGACTCATTCTAGTGTTGATTCAGCCATAACAGAAGGGTGGGGTGCTGTGAGCCGTGTGTCAGAATGACTGCATACTGGGAACTGCCCTCAAATGCGGGAAACACCTAGCCAAGATTGAGGAGGAACTGTACCGCAGTGGGAATCATTAGTCTCTCCTGACCTCCATCAGCCCCTACAGCCCATGGCTCCACTGAGTGGTATGCAGATGTTCCAGCTACACCACACTGCAACTTTTCTCTCAGCCCAGGTGAGAGACCGCCGTGCCCACAGTGCTGTTCCCAAAGCCTGTCCCAAGAAACAAACACCGAAACACAGCCTGACCTGAAACATCTATTATCAAAGGCACATGACTAAGCTTTCCTTTAGCATTAGAAAAATGTTATTTTTCACCTGTAAACTTGTATTTCCACCCTATTTTGTGAAAGGAATTTTATGCTACTGAGTATAACTTTCTACTTTGCTTTATTGCTCATCCTGACATACTTTTCTGCCACTAAACCAATATGTATGTTAAAATTTAATTTAAAAAATTCTCTATGACCACAAGACTCTTTGTATTAAATTTCTTCCGGATTGAGCACCATTGGAGTTATTAGAAGTTCACATTTGATCAAGACCACATATATACATCATAAATTCTAATAAACACCACACATAGGAACTTAAAAGATGTGTCTCTAAGGGTAGGGACTTCTATTTTTAATTAGTTTATGTAACTGTGAACAAATATTGTTTACTGCTAGAATAAGAGAATTTGGCATTAGTTTTATCCCACTTTGTGTTTTATATTTATAAATGTGAAAACATAATATGTATGCATATCACATAATAAGTGGGTGGGGATGAAGGGGATGGTTATATTGTGCAGCAGTGCTCATCATAGAAACTCCTTGTGACTAATTTAACAAAATTCACAGGACAATACATAATATTACATAGTAGAAAATAATATTTTAATAGATTATCAGCTGAAAATTCATTCTGGTCCTCAATTAGTTCTATGGGAAACTAATAGATGGAGCCCATTTCCAGGAGGATTTTTTTAATCAACCATGAAAGCCAGTCACCTTTCAACCTCTGCATCACAATTCAATCTCTTCCTTTCTCTAAATTGGGTCATTTGATGGCCAAAGTTTGTGAGGAGTCAGCCTGTGTCTCAAACAAGTATTGAGGGTAGACAACATGGAAAACCTTGACCACAGGCTGGCCCTGAGGTCTACTTTAAGAACGCATGCCTCTGGAGGTCACCCACAGCAGTCTACCCTTGACAGTTCACCATGGCAGCATCCATCTCCCAGCTTACCCAGACTGCTGATAGCCTAGGAGCTTTCTCCGGTATTGTATGAGTCCTCACTATGCCTTTATTTATAAGTGTGCACTAAATGAAGAGCAGCAGACATCTGCGAAGCAGATAGCCTGATAGCAGCTTGTCTCCGAGTCTTCTAGATACCTCCTTTCTCCTTATAAAACTGGTATAACAGCCCACATTCCAAATTAGCGTTAAGGGTCACACAGATGGCTGAAGAGTCTGAGCAATCTGGAAGGAATTATAAAAGCCATGAGATTATGAGCTGCCCCACACTTCCATCTCTTAACAGGAATGTCCTGCTGTTGTGGACGGCATAGTTCTCCTGTCAATGGGTGTATAGCAGAAAGGACACTGAACAAAGGAAAAACAGGGAGGATTAGTTAGAGTAGGCTTTGGAGCATTAATGCTGAAGTGACTCTTAGGGAGTCCCAGCTTTATTTACCCCCCCGTTCTCTTCTGTAAACCATGGTGACAGGGAATTTCTTTTTTATGACGAAAGTATAGAGAAGGGTTGGAGGAAATATTACCCAAGGTCACAAGCGGCGTCCCATGGGCTGTCCTTGGACCTGTTCAAATATTTCACCCACTAAATAAATTCCTTTGAGATTTTTCTCTTCTTTGTTCAAACAATCATTTTCCAAGGGCAAGAACTGTGGCAAATTATTGATCATAAGGATGGTAGAGAACACACCTAGGCTGTAAATTTACCTCACGCAAGTTTATAAAGCGATGGGGCAGGCTTTCTTCAAAATTCAATCACAAAGCCTAATTCTTCCTAAGTCTCCTTGGCAGTCTGTCATCTCCTGAATCATGTAAACTTCTTTGTTCTTTGGCGAACACTGGGTGGAAATGCAGTTATGCCTTGCTATTAGAAGATGCGTTAGTAAGATATTTTCTCCTTCAGCACTTAATATACTAGTCTAGAATCTTCCTCGACATAATAGTGTTTTCAAAGCTAGTCTAAAGTAGAAGTTAGATGACCTAAGATCGACTGTGACAAAGTGGTAGGAATAATTCCTCCCTCTGGCATTATCCCAGGTATACAGAAGATGCAGATGAATGCAGGCAGTCTACAAACACACATAAAAGTGTAGCCCAATAAAGCTGTGTCTCTTTTGTCTGCTCTTATCATTCGATTCTTTTTTCAAGAAAATAGCACAAAACATCTTAAAAGTCTAGTCTTGTTTCTCAAGAAAACTCTCCTGCCATGCCTGTAAATGTATTTTTTTATTTTTTAATAGTGAATAAGCTATGGGAAAATCAGTTTCACTAAACATAATTTTATTGATGTAATATTTGCAAAGATAAAATTCACTCAATCAAAACATCACAACACTTAAGCCCACATGCAGATTGTAGACTTGTGCTGCAGACTGAGCTTGTGGAAGGTGTTAAATATAAAAATAAATCCAAGGCAATTTCCATTTAGCACATTGTACAGAACTCATTTCTCAAAGTGATTAACAAGTTTGTAAAAAATCTTTCTCATTGGTGCTTGCGCTCAAAGTGTTCTGTAGCGTGGGGGACTACACTGGGGCGAAGTCCTATCTTGGCCAGGGTGATGCCACAGACCCACATGTGGAGGAGATGAGATCCTGCCATGGAACACGGACAGCACAGGGCAGGGAGGCTGCTGTGAGGCTCAGTCGCCTCGCTCTTCAGCGGGAGAGGCAAGTCCCAAACACACTCCATGTGGTCGTACAGACGTGAGTTGAATGGTGGACTCTTCACTTCTATGGTGATCACTGTCTCCTTTAGAATGACCATGAAGAAGGACAAACTGTATGCTTTGTCACAAAAGACAAAGGGACAGAGATGAACTTGACATCGCTCCTGTAACCTGTTTTCCAGCCACGATGAGTCCACTAATGGTCCATCCGTTCAGTGTTCGGGGCTTTGGGGCACTTTTGAACCACCTCCAAGGTTTGGGAGAACATCAGTTTCTAGGCCCCCTCCCCTATCACCCTCTGCCATTTCTAATTATGGGAAGAGGGCAGGTGGCAAGCTCTAGGTGACGATGTGTGTGATAAAATGATCTGTCCACTCTCCGTTCCAGTATGCCTGCTCTGGTACATCATTGGTTATCAAAAAGATCCATTTTTCATCAAAGTTTAAACCATCTGTATCAACAGGACACCTTGACAATAGCAACACAGAGCAGATGGCAGACAGCGGGACTGTCTGGTGTCTCGGGGAAGGGGTCCTCAACTTTGGCTATGTAGTAGAATCAAGAAAAAAAATCAAAAGCTTTGTGGTAGGGAAAGAATTCAGTCATTAAAGTGCCCCATGAAAGGTTGATTCTACTCCTGGCTGGGGATTGCTGCCTTGGAAAATCTCATCTCTCCACCTGTAGAAAGAGGGCCAGTCATGTGATCATGGTGTGTGGATGTCTTCAAGAAAACTTAGACCCTCATATTATGGGAATTGTATATGGGCATCATATGGAAAGGGGTTGTGACCGCTGACTTATCGTGGGCTGCATGGTCACTCAGCTTTGAAATAACAAAACCCAGGAAGGAGTGCAGGCTACGGATCTTCAGAATGACATCAGGTACGGAGTGTGTGTGAGGTACCATGTCTTTCCAGAGTGTGTGCAATGGACCACATCTTTCTAGAGTGTATGTGATGGACCACGTCTTCCCAGAGTGTGTATGATGGACCACATCTTCCCAGAGTGTGTGTGAGGCACCACCGTCTGCCCAGAGTGTAGGTGATGGTGCATGTCTTCCCAGAGTATGTGTGATGGACCAAGGCTTCCCAGACTGTGTGTGATAGTTCATGTCTTCCCAGAGATTGTGATAGACCATGTCTTCCCATTACAATCATTACGTTCCTCATGGTTACCTAGATTAAGTACTTTTTTTTTTGCATTGGAGCAGACTGATAAATAATGCTCCCAAGGACAAACACAAAAAGCCACACTTTGCTAGTCTACAAGAGAAAATGGGACACAAAGGCATACACACAAAGGAAGTTTTCAGGAATGTTCCCACTTTACACACACACACACACACACACACACACACACACACACACCAGGTGCAAATAGGATTATTTAATGTTTCCAGAAGAAAGTGAATTTCCATTCCATGGAATCCTTTTTCCTGGAAGGATTTAGAAAGGCTTGGGGGCAAGATAGTTTTAAGTGGACATGGAAGATGCCAAGCAGCTCATGTCCAAAGGCCAGGTTAATAAGATGCAATCCCATGCATGAAACTAGGACAAATATATATAACTGCAAAATTAAAAAAAAAGTGATTTAAACAAATCCAAGCCATCAGGGCTCACCTTCTGGTAATCTTTGGTACAAGTCAAATGTCTGAAAGCCATCACTTTAATTTAAATATAGCGGATTTAAATCACTTTGATTAAAAAATGTTCAGTAACCCCTGGTCTCTGTTTGGGGCCACAGCTGTCCTGAGGGCAAACCTACCTGAGCTACTTCACCTAACCTACTGACCGGTGCCTACAGACCAAGACCAACGCAGGCTAATGGTGAGTTCAAGGATACCTAAAGTACTGGTGAATCGCCTGTCTCAGTCTCTTTCCACTCTACGTCTTCCACTGTGACAGCTTCACAATAGGCTGGGGGAGAAAAGCACTATGGGTAAACTCCTTCAGAATAATAGGAAGTAGGCACTAATGATGTAATGGTGCCTTGGAAACAACAGGCATAAAAACAAACGTACTTTGACGCTTGCCTCCACTATTCAAAGCTCAGGCATTTAAACACCATGTTAAAAGTACACGTACAATAAACATGCGTGTATTAAGGATTTGTAACCTATGCATGGGAAAAGCACATTTGTCAAATGCCGTAAAACGCCAGAGTCAAAAGCACAGATGCATTTACAGGACTCAACGACCACAGACAAGCTTTACTCCATCCTCCAGATCCCCAAAGTGGTGGTGGTGAGGATTTGAGAGGACTTGGAGGGGAAAGGAGAACGCGGGGGTTGACCAAGCCCATTAGGTGAGTATGAAAAGGCTAACTCGGGAAGAGTTCTAGAGTGAGTTCAACCCTTGTCTAGGCTTCGTAGCTGGGGGCACATTCTTCTCCGTGTTATCTCTTTAATTGTTATACATTTTGGTCATAGTCTTCCTCCTCTCCCCCAGCTCAACATCTGACTTCTTTGTCTACTGTCTACTGTACATTCTGTCCTTGAGGCTTGCGAGACATACACAGCTCGCCTCAGGGAACCCCATCTCAAAGACAACGTATACATGACAGGCCACACAGAGAGCTGATCAGACCCTTCAGGCCAGCACGGGTTCCCCCTGCAGCATGGAACTCAGCCTCAAGGCTGCATGTCAAGAGCACAGTCGACACTCATGAAGCCTGCCCGCAGACAGAGGAGAGCCAGGCAGGGTTTCTAGCGTCCTGAAGCTAAGCAGCTGTCTTCACGGAACCCCCTACTTCGCCCCTGCATTCCATGGAACACCCACACACCCACAGGTGCTCACTCACTCTTTGTGGTTTTCCAAGGTCCAAGGAAACTACCGGCTCCTGGGAAGATGCTGCTCAGCTGTCTCTCTTTGAGGCACCTGGGTCCTCTGATCTCTCTCTAGCTGCCCCTGACCCAGTGCCCCTCAGTCCCTGCCTCCAACCCAGCTGCCTACTGAGAGGCCCTCTCTTCCCCTCCCTCAGAGTCCTGCACGTCAGGGGTCTTCTGTTCCTGTGTGGTCTCCACAGTCCCTGCTGATGTCACCTCCACTACCACAGCCTCCTTCCCTGGCCCTGGCTCCACGTCCTCAGCTATCACCCTCCCCTCAGCTGCTGCTTCTCCTCCGGGAGCCTCACCCGCTCTGCTCCGTGGTTCCTTGTGGCCGTCTGCAGAGGAGGAGGCCACGCTGACTGACTCTGCCAACCCTTCCCTCTGGCCCGCAGCTGTCCCGTCGACTCTTCCCCCACGTGGACCCTCCTCATCTTTGCCTGCGCCTCTTCCCATGGCCCGGTCCTGCCCCGCCAGGCTGGCAGTCGCTGTCCCTGGAGGATGCTTTCTGTCCTCACCCCCCTCCTCCTGTGGCTTCTCTCTCTCAGTCTCTCCACTCAACCCCGCTGCCACGGTGACCCTTTCCCCAGGAAGACTGCCATGCGTCATCAGTATGCCTCGCGAAGAAGGACTTTCTCCATCCGGCCGCTCTGGTCCTTCGAGGCTGTCTAGCTCCGGGGCGGCCCACTCTTGAGCTCCAGCTGTGAAAACGTTCTCAGGCACCCGAGCTTTGTCTGCGGGCTCTTCTGTAACTGTGGCTTCGTTCTCCGCCAGTGACTTTCCAGACTGAAGTCTTGCTTCAGACAAGCTGATGATGGTCCTTGCTCTGGGTGAGTCTTCTAGAAGCCTTGGGTTCTCACTCAACTTAGTTGCTCTTGCGGGATCTATAGCCTCAGCGTCAGCATCCGTCTTGTTGGGGGATGCATGGGCATCTTCCCCCGACCTCACTTCCTCCCCAGTGCCCGCCTCTTCCTCACACCCCACTTCCTCCCCAGTGCCCGCCTCTTCCTCACACCTCACTTCCTCCACAGTGCCCGCCTCTTCCTCACACCCCACTTCCTCCCCAGTGCCCGCCTCTTCCTCACACCCCACTTCCTCCCCAGTGCCCGCCTCTTCCTCACACCCCACTTCCTCCACAGTGCCCGCCTCTTCCTCACACCCCACTTCCTCCACAGTGCCCGCCTCTTCCTCACACTTCACTTCCTTCACAGTGCCCGCCTCTTCCTCACACCCCACTTCCTCCCCAGTGCCCGCCTCTTCCTCACACTTCACTTCCTTCACAGTGCCCGCCTCTTCCTCACACCTCACTTCCTCCCCAGTGCCCGCCTCCTCCTCAAACCTCTCTTCCTCCTCACACCCCACTTCCTCCCCAGTGCCCGCCTCTTCCCCTCTAACTCTTTGCTCTCCTAACTTCTCTTCTGTCCACCCTGTCACCTCCTCTCTTTCAGACCCAGCTTCTCTCAGAGGCGTTGGGCGCCTCTCAACTGTCTTCCAGTCTCCAGATGCAGCAAACTCCCCAGGGAGCACTGCTCTGGGATCCCCTTCCTGGGTAGATTCTGTGTCAGCCATAGCTCCCTCCCTTGCTGTGTCCTCCTTCCAGAGTGCCTCAGGGCTGTCCTGGGCATCCTCCCTGGGGCTTGCCCCTGCTGAGGAGCTCGAGGGTGCATCTGCAGCCTCCAGAACCTCCTTCCTCTCGGTAGCCGCTTTCCCTCCTCCAAGTGTTGCCTCTTCAAAACCATGCCCTGTCTCTGGTGCTGTGTCCTCCACGGGCTCCATGGCCTCCAGCTCTGTGGGAGCTCCCTCTCTGCCTTGGTCACCGTCGGGTCTTGGGGAGCCCACCTCCCGCTCTGCCTCCTCCATCTCAGGAGGCCCTGCTTCTTTCAGAAATGTTGATTCCCCCTGCATCTCTGAGCTGAGCACTGCCTCCTCCAGTACCCGCCCCCTTACAGAACCTGCCCTACCTTTCTCCATATCTGTCTGCAGCAAGGCCTGCCCGTCGGGGTCCACATCCCTCTGAGGCACCGAGACACCCACTTTTCCTGTGGGGTTTAACCACCCCTCACCACACCTGCTGTGCCCCTCTGAGCCTGCCTCTGCCTGGCTAGCTGTGCTCAGGGGACGCTCTCCTTCCTCTGAAGACTGCTCTGCTAATGCCTGCTGCTCTTCAGCCGGGCTCCTCTTCCCCGTGGGGACCTCCGCAACCCCCACTCCCTCCCTCAGCTCGGCATTCATGTCAGCATCCTGGGGACGGTGGGCTTCATCTTCCTTCCTCCACGCCTTCTCCCTCAGTCCTGCGTCAGTGAGAGCATCCTCAGGCTGGGAATATTCATCTCTCGCCGCTGCCGCTGAGGCTGTTTCCTTCTCCGGGGTGCACACCTCTTGGGCAGCTTGCTGGGGTTGCTCCTTTGAGCCGCTGGATGCTCTTTCCTCCTCCGCCACTGAATTTCCATTTGGCACCATGGAAACGAGATGAGAGACAAAGCGATTTTGATCAAACCGTGTAAAACAGAGAATACATACTTCATACGTCATCAGGAGGACACTGAAATTATATACTAAACCTCTCTTCAGTTGATAAGATGTTATTAACTAACATGGACCCTGGGTGAAAAATGCCTTTCCTTCGTTATGAGAGGGAAGGCTTCCAAACTCAATGGACACATCAATATAAAAGCACACCTTTAATCCCAGCACTTGGGAGGCAGAGACAGGTGGATCTCTGTGAGTTTGAGGCCAGACCTTGTCTACAAAGTGAGTTCCAGGACAGGTTCCAAACTATAGAGAAACCCTGTCTCAAAAAAACAAAACAACAACAGCCATAAAAAAACATCAACATATAAAACAAAAGTTGGACATTGGGCATGCAAAGTGAGTTCCAGGACAGGTTCCAAACTATAGAGAAACCCTGTCTCAAAAAAACAAAACAACAACAGCCATAAAAAAACATCAACAACATATAAAACAAAAGTTGGACATTGGGCATGTTGAAATGAGTAACCACAGCACTCCTCAATTCTCATAGTTTACATAAATTATCTGACATGTAACACACACGCACATGCACACATACGTGCACACATGCATACACATGCACACACTCACTAATTTCATTTCAAATATACTCACTAATTTCATTTCAAATATTAAGATTTGAGAAAACATTTTTCATTAAGCAGAAAATGTTTATTTCCCTTAAAAGTCATCATTCTCTACAACGTCAAGAGTATGTCTACTCAGTGGCCATTTAGAGGTGGCTGTCATACCATACGCTACTCCCAATACCACAAAGCTCCTCTGGCTAGATTCAGTCATCAAAATGTTTATCGCTGAGGTATGACATTTCTCTAAACACATCCATTTGTATTCCATGTCAGGTTGCATGCCATCTATGCTCAGAAACTGATTGACTTTGGAAAACAGGGCCACGGAGCGAGGCAGGACCTGCTGGTGTGGGCCAGCGCCCAGCATAAACAGCCCTTCTACAACACTGCTGAGTTCTGATGCAGGACTTTCTGGGAAACCTGAATCTACAGGTCTACTACGTCTTTGGAAGGCCACCGAATTTCTCAGTATTTACCAAGACGCGCATCCTTCTGAATGATTCCCGAGGAATATGTGAAAGCACAGGACAACAATTATCCCCCCCAAAAAATCTCTAGATCTCCCAAGTGGAGGGCCCAACTCAGAGTGGTCGGAACTTCAGAAGTAGTATCTCAGTAGCACTCATTGCTGCAACGCTTTATTAAATATTTTTGCTGTGTTTATGATTGTGTTCCTGTCTGGGGTGTGCTTGCCCATGTCAGCACCTTGTGGAGGTGACGGGACAACTCTGTGAAACCCGCTCTCTCCTTCCACCTTCACGCGGGTGCTGGGGACTGGCACTCCGTCAAGAGATATTGCTTAGCAAGTATCTTTACCTACTGAGGTGACTCTCCAGCCCAAGAACTCCAATAGTTTCCATTTTAAAAAAAAGTCAGGGCTGGGATTATAGCTCGATCAGTGAGGGCATGCTGTGCCCTGCAAGGACTTGAGTATATATACTTTCTATAAATTCTGTTACTTAGAGAACGCTAATACACTTGGCCGTGGTGTTTTGTCACAGCAATAGAAAACTAACCAAGACAGGCTGCATATACATATACATACAAAAGGACACATTTGTAGATTCTATGAATTGCAATACATTATTCTAACAGTATGTCATGTAAAGTTATGCAATAGGCAAACAAATCTTCCTCATTTTCTTCGCTCAGTTGAATTCTCAAAATAAGTTTTGCACTTATTTATTGTGGTCAATTGCCTTCCACAGTGAGCACACGGAAGTCAGAGAACAACATTCAGTATTCAGTTCTCTCTCTTCACTGTGTTGGATTCCAGGAATGGAACTCAGGTCGTCAGGTCTGGCAGTAAATGCTTTTGCCCTCTGAGCAGAGGCTTGCTTGCAGTTTGGCTAACCATTTTACCTACAGTGCCGCCGCTGACAACCGAAAGAAACCCAAATCTCCCTCTTACACCACCCTTTCCCCTCCATGTGGCCAACAATATCATCTCTCTTCAAACTTATCCTTTGCTGTTGTCTCAGTCTCTTGGAAATCGTACCACAAACTATTTGGATGGTAGCCAATAAGAGCTGGTGTGATACTCCCCCTTAAACATACATTTAGAAGATGATTCCTGTTGTCTTCAATCAAACACTAAAAATTCCTATAATCCAGGTCTATCATTGGGGCTGAGGTTGGATTTTTAGGTCATCTTATGGGGCATCAAGTAGCAGTTTCAAGACTGTACTCAAGAACCCTAGAAGGGATGTGTAGAGTCAAACTGTCTTCTCAGATGACACCCAGCAAATTCACCCATTTCTACTTCACCGCGGACTGTGACTGACTTGGAGCATAGCTATGCTGGGACAATGGGAAACAACCCTGGATGTCAAATCTCTTATCTGTTGCTGCTCAGAATCCTGCATGAAATGTAATAAAGAAGTCTGTAATGGAAAACATTTAAATAAAGACATCTGTTTTTCTAACCTGGCCTTTAAATTTATGGATTAATTAAAGAACGTTCTTGAAAACAGGGGAATAAAATTGCCTAGTCACCAACTAATAATATACTGTTTAAATTCTAGGAGAAAATGGGCACCAAGCTGAGCTGTGATATGAGCCCACATACCACAGAGAAGTCAAACAGAACATTCCCAAAACATGGGAGGATGGGTAATTGAAGCCTTTCTCAGAAACAGCAGCGTGCAAAGGTGTGTTTTTTTCTAATGGCAATCCCATGCACTTTGGGAAGTGTGTCACAGAAACAAACGTTTAGTACTCATGAACAGGACCACTAGCTCCCTCCCATGCAATAACCACGTGCCTGGGAGTTCAGACAAGCCTGGTGCATGTGTAGCTCTTACATTCCCTAGTTAGATGAACTTAGGAACTGGCACCTCTCAAGCTTTCTTTTTTTTAAATCCATAAAGTGGTAGCAGCCATTTTGGCTGGCAGAATTCTTGTAGCAATCAACGGTATGGCTGTGTGAAACCCTCAGTACTGCATCATCCTGTAAGAGCCTCATGGCTTTCTTCTCTCTCAGCCCACCGCCTTCAATGAACTAGGCTTTCTTGCTGGAGTCTGGCCTCCTCAGGAACGTCTGTGGCTCTGTTGTGTGCTTGGGAGGGTCACCGGAATTCCTCGAATGGAAAGTCTGCTGCAAAAGCTCAACATGGCTATGACTCTGCCCGCTGCTTCTTCCTCTTTATGCTGCCCCAAGAGGGAAGGAATCTCTCTCGTACCTTCTATAGCATCCATGAAGTTGTCTCATAGAGACTGACAACTCTCACTTAACACTGGAGATGGGGCAAAGTGATGAACAACATGAGTATTCTCTCTCTCTCTCTTTCTCTCTCTCTCTGTCTCTCTCTCTCTCTGTCTCTGTCTCTCTCTGTCTGTCTGTCTCTCCTCTCTCTCTCTCTCTCTCTCTCTCTCTCTCTCTCACACACACACACAAATCAAAACAACTTTTGAAAGCACACATCACGTATGAGGAAGCCCACCTTCACAGACATAGGACATTGGCTGGATATATGTGAGACATGTTCGTTGACTTGATGCTTAGTTGGCAGTCTGAAAGATGGGATACCAGTCCCATTATACATTGACAACAGTGAATTCTTTGCTGATTCTGAAAGGGCTGAGTTTACTTGAGCCTTTGGAAAACGTGGTGGGTGTCCTGGGGCTGTTAATGCCTCTTACTTGGACAACAAAGGTAAATTTGCCTGCTTGGTCAGACAACTGGAAGTAAGACTATGGAATATGACCAACCTGAAAGTGAGCACTAGGCTTCTTCTTGCTTGTTTTAGTTTTTTCCTTAAACATCAATGTATTTAAAAAAACCAGCACTTGTAGATAATGTTGGTTTCAAAGCTCTCCTTCAGGCCTCTGGGGCACTTCCTGCCATCATATCCATTACACAAGAACCATAAATATAAATGGTCAGAAGAAACAAACAAGGATTTGAAGATGAAAGACAGAGATGGGGGAGCATTAGCTGAGGACTTCACGTCACGTCTTTACTGAGTCAGGACAGGCCCTTACCTCCAGCCAGGTTGACCTCCGGTTTCCTCGTGGGTGTCGCCCCATCCTCTGTGGTGCTAAGCTCAGCTGCAGTGTCGGAGCAGTAGTGACCGGGTGGTTGGGCTTCACCTATGATCTGTCCAACTGATTGGAGAGCATATAAGATATCAAAAAGCATGAGACAGGCCACGGGGACGTTAGCATTTCCCATCGTCCGAGGTAAGTGGGGGTGAATTTAATTTAAACAGATTCACATGAAAATGTGACTTGGCTTCTAAAAGTACACGAAGATTGGACAGCTTCCAAGCTATGATTATCTTTTTGAAAGGCAAACACGGCACACCATAGTCAATCATGAAGAGAGGAGGCTCATGCAAAGAAGCACTCCCATTGAAATAAGACAACAGCCGGAAGCAGTGACAGTTGCCAAGGGCGCATGCGATGGAGGACGTGACTGGAGAAGCAGCCCGGGGTTGCCTTTTGCTTTCTAGAACTGTGTCCTCTTCCCTTTGTGGCACCCATCATTCACTGGTCTTTTAAATTACTAAACCTACGCACGGTGACTCACCCTGAGTGTTTCGCCCATTAGCAGATTTAACAATATGACCTTGGTGCTCACCCGTTATGGACAGAAGCGGCCACCGAGTTCCTACCGGCCTGACAGTACACATCCTCAGATGAACTTCTGTTCTATAATGCTGACTACTACCATGGAACTCCGAGGCACAGAGGTCCAGGTTCAAGTCCTGTCTTCCCTGCTGTGTCCTCGGCTTACCTACCTGTCAAAAGAGATGTGGAATCCAATGGGTCAGAGCGCCTTGTAGGGAGAGATCACGTGCCTGTAGACCTAACCATGCCCGTTTGGGCATGGCCACAGGTATGTGGGCGAAGGCAGGGAGATAAAGAGTTAGGAGGGAGAAGAGAGGGCCCTCTTGGGGTTCCGGTCAAGGTTCCAGGACCAGCAGATCGCTGACCTCAGGTTCTTGACGTCTTATGTAATTGATGTCTACTTAATAAAGTATCGTACAACTTCCCTTCCCTGTGTACCTGGTGTGGCTCAATGTTCCTCATCAGCGCCTGAATGTCCCTGTGCCAGCAAGTGCTATTTAATAAGTGACAGCTACCACTGAGTAGTGGGGGTGATGATGGGCGTTTTGAATGTTTTTATCACTGAAGTCCAGGCTGAGGTGAACTATAAAGTCAACTACATCCGTCTTTAGTGTCTGAGAACTCTGTCTCCCTCACTGCTGGCCACCCGATGGTGTGTGACTAGTTTCTTGATTCTGCAGGAGCATGTCACCCTGTAGTCAACTGAAGCTCCACCAGTAAGGTGAGGCTGAGACCTGCCTTCAGTGGTGAAAGCACCGTTACACCAGTCTCCTGACTCCCCCGCTCTGCTTCCGAGACTCTTCCCCTTCCTCTTCCTTCTCACCTTCTGACCTCACAATGCAGGCTGATCCAAGGACTGCCCTCGGAGACACACAGCTACCGTGCCATCTCTAATTATTGACGAGTGTAAAGTAGGTTTCTGAGCGGCAACTGGGGTCTGGGAAGAAACGCTGTGATGTATACGGGAGTATCTCAGCGGAGGAAATTATAAATATTAATACAAACGTGGAAACAGAAAGTGGAGCCTCACATAGCTCAGGTATGTTGTCTGGTGTTTTGTTTGAACACTGGGTTTCTTAGTGCATACAATGTGCAAGTGGAGACATTTATTCACCACACTACGGTTTGGAGGTGAGATCATGTCATGACAACCCTGTGACCGCTGAGTCAGTTTAGGACACTTGTGGATGGAGGACATGGAATCCGTGTGTCCCTTTGTCTACTGTGCAGCCATCGTCATGTGGTCCCCTCAGTTTACATAAGCAATGGCTTGGGGATTTGGATAAAACAGATTGGCTGACTGAGCAATGGTGATTACCAGGATGCTAGGCCAGGCATGGGGGCTGACTGCAACAGTGCCAGCAGACATCGGGGTCCGTCCTAAGTGCCAAAAACTGCAAGGAAATGAGGACTTTACCAAAGTAAAGCCAGATGCCAGCGGATAAAGGACCTCATGTTCTTTATCTTGTATGTGGGATCTAAATGTAAACTCTGTGTGTGTGTGTGTGTGTGTGTGTGTGTGTGATAATCTTTATCTCGTATGTGGGATCTAAATGTAAATTTGTGTGTGTGTGTGTGTGTGTGTGTGTGATAAGCCAAATGCCATCAGATAAAGACCGCACGTTCTTTATCTCGTATGTGGGATCTAAATGTAAACTCACATGTGTGTGCAGAAAGGAAAGCGAATGGTGATTCGGGGTTGGAGGAAGAGGTCTCAAGCAATGAGGAAGGCTGAAAACGCAGGGTCATGCGAGAGGCATGACACGGATTCCAGAAGCCTGGGTGTGTGAGGAAGGGGGCGCTGTGGGTGAACCAAGAAAGGGAGTGTGTGCTGTGTATGCATGCGGATATCATAATTGAGTCGTTGCAGCGGGTGCTAATTAAAAAAATTTTAGGGAAATATGGCTTGCAATAATAATAATGAACGATAGTTGAACAGCAGTCGTTGGACCAAAAACAAAAACAAAAACAAAAACAAACAAACAAAAAAACACTAGTCTAAGCAGCCACGCATTAATCCGGCCATTACGACTCACCCCAAATCAACGGTGAAGCTGTCTCACTGAGTCAGGGCTCTAGCCTGGCCCGTCTGCTGGCCTGGTCTGGAGGAAGTAGCTATGGAGTCGGGAGTGGCTGGGCATTCTGAGGACACAGCAGACCTTTGCCACGAAGGACAACTTCCTCAGGTGTCCTTCTCGGCTGAGAGTTGAAAGCAGGGGCTTGGCCAGCTCTGTGCTCTGCTGTTTCCCGCCCACAGAGAGAGAGAGGACCGTGCCTGCCTAGACTCCCGTGTAACCCGTGTGGCCAGACGCTTCGATTCCTCTGTCTACCTGTCTCATCCTGTCCTTTAGCTCTCCATAAAGGTGACCACCCAAGGCCACAGCAGTTGCCAGTTCTCCCAGGATACACAACAAATGGATGGTTTCATACAAGGGATCTCTCAGAAAACATCTTTTCCACCCCAGTAATGTAGAGAGCCTCACAATAGTGTTTGAAACACTGCAGTAACTTTGTATTCACAATATTAGTTTCTGTTATTAAAAAATACGTTTTCCAGTAATACACGCCATGCTTCCCTCAACATAAAAGTGGTTATCTAAAGCTTAAAAAGATAGAAAAAGAGATAGAAGAAGAAAAACCAGCACCATCCATAATTCTGACTCTGAAATGCTAATATTTCGGTGGGTTCCTGAGAGGCTTTGCTTGCTTTGATCATACTCGGGAGAGGCTCTCACATCTCACTCTGTCAGTTTAACAACCTATTCTGTTTCTCCACTCAACAGGTTAAAAAGGATCTTTCAGAGCATATAGAGCAGCGGTTCTCAACCTTCCTGACGCTCTGACCCTTCAATACAGTTCCTCCAGCTGTGGTGATTCCCACCCACAAAATCGTGTCTCTTGCTACTACATAACTGTAATTTTGCTACTGTTATGAACCATAACGTAAATATCTGATATGTAGGATATCTGATATGCGACCCCTGTTAAAGGATCGTTCAGCAACAAGGGGTTGCGACCCACAGGTTGAGAACAACTGATATGGAGGCTACCAATAAAGATTCAGGCTGATGATGTAGTTCAATGACAGGGCACATGCCTAGCATGTTCCAGAGCCAGGGATAGACCCCAGCACCACACAGACACACACACACACACACACAGAGACACACACACACAGACACACACACACCACATACATATACACACACACAGAGACACACTCACACAGATGCACACACACACAGAGACACACTCACACAAATGCACACACACACACACACACACACACACCACATACATACATACACTGAACAAATATATGTGGCTAATGTCTAATTTAAGTAGCTAGTGGATATGGAGTTACAGCCATGGTTAATGGATTGTGAATTTTCTGCTGCATGGTGGCTGGACTTTTCCTATTGATTTTTTAAAAACTTTTTGTTTTACAACTGTTTCCTTGCTAAAAATATCACTTCTGTTAAGCATACGAGGCAAAGCTTTCTCCAGTTTCCTTGGCTAGAGTGATTACTGAACCATTGTTGTTGCTAATACTCTAAATGCTTTCTAATTATTGGTACTAGCTCCCAATTTTTTTTGAATTCCAAATTATCATCTCCTGGGTTTGGAGGCACATTACATTAAACTGAGAATGTAATCCGGAAAATTTTCCAGCACCCTTTACTTGATTTTTTACTTCCTTCGGGTGATTTCTTACTTATCCCAGATTTTTATGCAGTCAAGACATGTTATACATTCCCTTCTCACACACTTCTGGAAGTAGTGTTATAGGTTTTGCATATTTGTTAGGTGTTACTTAGCAATTTTTCACTATAGCTAAGTGGAATCACTATATGAGGCTATAGTTTGAAATATATCATCTTTAAAATAGCATTTTCTTGTTCTAATAGCATAATCAATAATTAAGGAATGGAGTTTTTCTTTTACACAAAAACTATTTGAGAACTTCCTTTAGGTTTCTAATTTATTACGAGAGCACATTATGCCATGCGAATGATTCCTAGCTTTGTTGCACCGAGACCATAGAATGTGGACTCCAAAACCTGTACTCTGTGCTCCTAGGGAAAGGGCACAGGAGTACCCAGTGGGCCAACCTTCTAAATCATATCGATGCCTTTTATATCGTTATCCATTGGGAAAGGGTGGCAGTTTTACTCCTACGAAAACCGGTGCTACTTGTGTGTTTTCATCTAAAAGAGTGTGGGAGTTTCCTGAGTGCCCCGAACTTCTCATAGGAACTGCGTCACGGCCTCCTTCTCAGATGTGTTAAGCTACACAGTTATACACCCCAAATCACGGACCCAAGAGCTCCATGCAAAGGAGGAGGAGACGAGGCTCTGCCCTCTTGGCAGAGAAGTCACCCCGTGCCCTGGCATTGCCCTACTCCAGAGACCCCCAACTTTGAGCAGCCTCTTGCTCTCCTGCTGCCATTGTGAAGGAGAACGTTCTGGCTTTCCTACAGCCCTAACACTGCCGAGAATTGCTGTTCTTGGAGAATCAGTTCCTCAAATTTCTGT